AATTTTGCTGTTGATCTTCGTCTACATCCATGAAGATTTCGTCAAATTGTTCATCATCATTATTGGTTTGTTGTTGCTGTTGTTCGTATTCGTCCTCTTTATCTTCACCATCGTCATCTTCACCATCTTCTTCTTCTTCACCATCTTCTTCTTCTTCTTCACCATCTTCTTCTTCATCATATTTTCCATATTGTTCGCCACTAGAATTGTCGTTGAAATCAATCGTATCTTCAGTTTCGAAAGAGTAATGTGTGCTGTCAATGATTGATTCGACATGATCATATAAACGTTTAGCAATTTCTTCATCACGCGCACTGTTGACAGCACAGTGATGGTTTATCGATAATCGCTCAGAAACTAAATTACTTAAAAGTTCCGCAACACGATGAGGATTAATCATGATTATTCACAATATGTACAAGTTAAAAGAAACAAAAAATATCAGTCTTGTATATATGCTGATAGTTTTTTCGAGAATATAAATACTTGTATATACAACTGAATTTTCTTTTTACAAAACTAATCTTGTTCGACTAGTCCGAATTTAAAAGTGACACTGTCACCATAATAAACCTACAGCACAGAAATTCTTGTGAAAATAAAGAAAAAAAAATTATTCCAGCAGTTTATTTATTTGTACAAGGCTATATTACTGCATGTCAGATGGCGCTAGCAGGCGGATAGTGTTAGACAAATACTTACACTACAATGCTCTATTCATCTATAGTCAAAATTTCAGATCTTCCTAACTTAATTCAGTTAATTTTATGATATAAAAATTTTTCACTTTATATAATAGTGAAAATAGTAAAAATTTGATAATTTTTGAAGGCAGAGGATTGGGGAGAAAACCCTTTAGGATTTTTACTACCTCAATATACTCTACTAAATGAGATATGAATGAATGAAAACGGGAGGATCACCTCTGGTGGTTTCCTCGTTAGTCGCAAACTCTTTGATGAGCAAAATGTAACGATTAGGAGCTCACCAATACTAGAAAACCTTTCCATACCCAGCTTCGAAGTGCATTAGTGAAAAAGGTTCCAGGGCAGCTTTTTATTATGTCCGACATCTTTCTTACGGAGAAAGATACTTCAGTTCCATTGCATTGCTTATTGCTATATTCCACCCATCGTTAGGTTCCAAAATTTGCTTGTAGAAGTGACAATTCGATTGATTTCTGTAATGAGCATATGATTTCAATCATCTATGATAGAGTGTGGCTGTGGGTGTGTGGGGTGTGCATGTGGATCTGAAGGTGGGTTTGAAGGATGCATGTGGATGTGAATGTAGATGACAGTGCGGGAGTGAGTGTCGGGGTGGCTGTGGGTGTGCGCATGGGAGTGAGTATGTTGGTGTGGGTGTGGGTGTGGGCGTGGATGAGGGTGTGGTTGCGGCTGTGGCTGCGGGTGTGACTAGGGTGTGGATGAAGCTATGGGTGTGGGTGTGGGTGTGGGTGTGGGTGTGGGTGTGGGTGTGGGTGTGGGTGTGGGTGTGGGTGTGGGTGTGGGTGTGGGGGTGGGTGTGGGTGGGGGTGTG